AATCATTTGATTCAATATATTTAAATATGTTTTCAATTGTTTGTTGAAATAATACTGGTTGCCTTATGTTATCGAATATATATTTTGAATCAAATGGAGTGTTTTCATCAAATTGATTGGAAGTAACTGTTGAAAATGTTGTTATCGTTGGTAATTTTGATATGATATCTTTGGTTGATTCAATTACTTCGTCTTTTATTATATCTTGTTTCGATGAATGAAAAGCAGCATTTGAACCTAATAATGTTGAGAATATTTGTTTGATTTTTAAAGATTCTGAAATCTCTAATAATTCATTTTCATTACCACAAATTACAATTGAAGATTGAGAATTGTAACATGCAATTTCTATATTTGGGTATGATATTGAATATTGACTTTTAAATTGTTCTTCACTTAATCCAATTGATAATAATCTACCCAATCCATTGGTTTTATTTTGAAGAACTGCTCTTATATAAACTAAAAAACATGCAGTTTTTAAATCAATCATACCAGAACAATATGCTGCTGAAATTTCACCAAAACTATGACCGACAATTATTGATGGTATGATACCCCAATGTTTATATAAAGTAAATAATGAGATATGTATCATAAACATTGATGGTTGTGCAATTGATAATTCATTAATGCTGATTTTATCGTCATCTTTGATTGATCTTAACTTTTCTAAAATAGAATAACCAAATTGCTTTTTTAGTAATAAATCAATTTCGTCCATTGATTGTTTGAATATTGGTTCATTTTGGTATAGTTCAAGTCCCATTTTTGGATATTGTGGACCTTGACCACAAAATGAAAATATTAATGGCGGATTCTTTTCATTGTCCTTGATGATATTACCAGATTTATTATTTTTGGTTGAAAATGATATTGGTTGATCCTTTAGCTCCTCCCAATTATTTGCGATTAAAACTGATCTTTGAGATAGTTTTGTTGTTTTTGAAAATGTTTGAAATAATGCAAATTCATTAAAATTAATTGTATTTGAATATTTGTTGATATTTTCATTTAAAATTGATTTATAAGATTCTAATGATTTCTTTGAATTTGTTGAAATTGGAATTAATAATTTTGACGATTCATTTAATTTAATTAATTTTGCTGCTGATGATGATGGTGATGATGATGGCGGTGGCTTAATATACTCTGATAATAGTAAACAAGCATTAGAGCCTGTTATTCCAAAACTATTTATAGCAATTGATGTTTTTTTGTCGGATGGGAATGGTGTATTCTCGGTTACAACTTTAACATTCCAATCTTTAAATTTTATATTTGGATTTGGATTATTAAAATGAATATTTTTAACGAATTGACGGTGTTTAAACATAAGACAAACTTTTGCTAATGATGCTACACCAGATGCGGGTTCAAGATGACCAATATTGGGTTTGACTGATCCAATTAATAGTGGTTCTTTTTTGATTTGGTCAAAAACTTTTGAAACTGCTTCTACTTCAATTGGATCGCCAACTTGAGTACCAGTACCATGTAGTTCAAAGAAATCAATATCTTCATACTTGATTGAACCATTTGTCGATTTAAATGCACTCTTGATATTTTTAATTTGAGAATCTTTTGATGGTGCAAAAAAATTACTTTTATTTAATGATCCATCAACATTTGAACTGCTACCTTTGATTACCGAGTAAATTTGGTTACCATCTTTTATTGCTAAAGATAATCTTTTTAAAATTAAAACAACAACACCTTCTGATCTTACAAAACCATCTGCTGATTCATCAAATGCATTACATCTACCAGATTTGCCAATGATATTAATTGATGTAAACGATCTCGATATAAATGGTTCTAAATAGTTTATAAAATTTGTTACTATTATTATTATTTTTTTTTTTTTTTTTTTATAAAAAAGGTAAATAAATAAAACTGTCGCTTTCACTTACTTAAAATTACATTACAACCAGCGACGATAGAGTAATCAGATTTACCATTAATGATTGTTTCATAACCTAAATGAACAGCATTTAACGAAGATGAACATGCAGTATCAACTGTTAAAGAAGTACCATGTAAATCAAAGCAATAGGAGATTCTATTTGAAAAGGCACAAAGAGAACTATTGAAAACGTTTATTGGACTTTCATTAGGTTCGCAGTCAAATGAAAGATAGTCAGTTGACGAAGCACCAACGAAAACTGAAGTATCTGTACCTCTTATCGATAGTGGATCGATTGAAGCATCTTCAAATGCTTCCCAGGTTGTTTTTAACATCATTTTGATTTGTGGATCAATTTGTTTTGCGTCAGTTGGGTTAATACCAAAAAACAATGGATCAAAGGATTTCCATTCTTCTAAATCTAATAAACCAGCTTTATTACTTGAGATTTCACTATTTCGATAAAATGTATCACTCCATCTTTCGGTTGTTTCAACAATACCATCAAAGCCATCAATTAAATTATCCCAGAATTGTAATGGGGTTTTTGTGTTACCTGGTAATCTTAATCCAATACCAATTATAGCCACTTGTTTATCATTTACTTCCTCTACTGTATTTATTTCTATCATTTGTTTGAATCTTTTATTATTTGATAAAAAAAAAAAAATTAAAAAAAAGAATTCATTTTTATATTAAAAAAAAACCTTTTTAATTTTTGTAAATGATTCGACCTTCTTTTTTTTATTTTTTCAATATCTGAGCTGATAATAAGACCACCAATCTTTTTTATATTATGTTTAAAAAACTGTTATAACAGTTTTAACAACCAGGTGTTTTTATCTTTCCACAGAAAGACTTTAGTACCAAAAAATTAATCTAACCACTAAAATGATAAAAAAATCACCTATTTGAGGAATAAAAATAATTATTATTTTGTTATATTTTCCCACATAGTGGTTTTTTTTATCATTTTGGTGGTTAGATTAATTCTATCACTCCTTTAATTTTTTGGTACTAAAATCTCTTTTATTAACTTTTAAAGAAACAAAAAAGTTGTTTAAAATTTTTTTCATTTATTATTTTTTTTATCTATATATTATTATTATTATTATTTTTTATATTAAAAACAAAAAAATGGAGATACTAAATGTATTAATATTATTAGTTTTTATATTTTTACTTAAGGATTTTGTATGTATGCTATAAAATAAAAAAAAATAAAAATGAAAATAAAAAAAAATGTGTGAAAACAAAAAAATTAATTTTTTTTTTTATAATAATTTTTATTTTTTTTTATTCCAAATATATAAAAGATCAAAAAAAATAAAAAAGTTCATCCAAAATCACCTAGCGGACCACTAGCATTTCCAATAATAGGTAACATTCCACAATTGAAATTCAAAGAATTTCTATTCAATAAACAAGAACATACAATTATTGGAGAATATAGTCAATCTAATGATGGAATTTGTAGAGCTTATCTAGGCGACCGTTACTTTTTATTCATTTCAAACTATGATGTTGTTAAGTGCATTCAAAAAGATGATAACTTCATGGATAGACCTTCTAAATTTGTACCAGGATGGAGATACATCTCAAATAATGGTATGGGTATTATGAGTTCATCAGAAGAGAAATGGACAAGAGCAAAAACATTAGTAATTAAATCATTGAGAATTCATTCAAAAAAAGAATTAATTGAAGAAAAAGCAAAAGAATTAATTGATTCACTAGATAAATGTGCAAATTCAAATGAAATTGTATGTATACTTAAAAATATAATAATTACCATCTTTTAAAAACATAAATTATAATAATAATAATAATAATAATAATAATAATAATAATAATAATAATAATAATAATAATAATAATAATAATAATAATAATAATAATAATAATAATAATAATTTATTATAGATTTATCCAAAAGAATATTTCCAAGGATATTCATGCTCAATTTTATTTAAATATATGTTTAATCAAGAGATACCAGTTAAGAATGAACAATCAAAGGCTATTGGTAATGCAATTGAACATGTGTTTAGTAATATTTCAAAGTTAACTGCATTTGATTGTTTTGAATTCCTATCACCATTTTATGATTGGTTTTTTGAGAAAAGATTAAAAGGTTGTGATATAGTTAGACATATAATTAATAGTCAAAATGATAAGCATTTAGAATCAATTGATCCAAGTAAACCAAGAGATTTAATGGATGATTTATTAATTGAATATGGTGTTAATGAAATTACTCAAGAAGATAGAACTCAAATCAACCAAATTTGTTTTGACATTTTCGGGCCATCAGTTGGTACAATTACAATCACATTGAATTGGGTAATATTACAATTATGTAATCATCAAGATTTACAAGAAATAGTATACAATGAAATTAAAAATGCTGTTGTTTCTGATGGTAGTGAATATGTTAATATGTCACACAAACAATCAATCCCTTATTTGGTTGCATTTATTAAAGAAACCATGAGGTTATGTTCAAATGGATTTGGTTTGCCAAAAACTGCAAAAAAAGATCAAATATGTGGAAACTATCTAATACCAAAAGATGCCATCATTTTTGTAAACTACCTTGCAATTAGTCTAAATGAAGAATTATTCTCAAATCCACATGAATTTAATCCAAAAAGATATTTAGATGAGTCAATTCCAATTCCAAATATTCATTTCGGTGTTGGTCCTCGTGCTTGTCCAGGTCGCTTTATCGCAATAGATGAAATGTTTCTTGCTGTTTCGAATATTCTTTTGAAATATAAAATTAAATCTGTTGATGGTAAAAAAATTGATGATTCAATTCAATTTAGTGTTTCTTTAAAAGCAAAAGATTACTGTATTAAATTAGAAAAAAGAAAACAATAAACATTTTTTTTTATCAATGATAGACGCAAAAATGATATTGTTGTTTAATTTTTTCTCCCCTGTCTCCCCTCTCGACAATTGTTGGATATTCTTTTTTATTTAATTCGCTTATGCCCTATCTTTAAGAATGGAGAAGTTTCGATTTTATCAACTTTATTTGGTATTAGGCAAGAGTCGAACCCGTGCCCTATAAATGGGTTAATGAAAATTTCGCCTAGACATGGGATCGAACCATGGACCTAGCGGTTAACAGCCGCTCGCTCTGCCTACTGAGCCATCCAGGCATTTTTGTTTTTTACAAATTTAACTACGTTTATTTATGTAATTTTTGGTGAGTTAATACTTTTTAAAAGTGCCGCGACCTGGAATCGAACCAGGGTCAACAGAGCCACAATCTGATGTACTACCACTATACTATCACGGCCTTTTGGTGAACATTTGTAATTAACTGCTAAAAGGTATATTTGGAGCGTGCCACTTTCAAATGTTAACACCCGTATCAAATATCATTATTTGTAATTAACATCAAAAATCACCAACCACACGACACATTATTTCTCATTTGTGTACAGATTACAAACAACTATCACTTTTTATTTCTAAAAAAAATAAAAAAAAAAATAATAATAAATAATTAAAAAATATCGACCAAATGAAAAAAAACGCAGTTTTTTTTCATTTTCGTTGTGCCACTTTCAAATGTTAACACCCGTATCAAATATCATTATTTGTAATTAACATCAAAAATCACCAACCACACGACACATTATTTCTCATTTGTGTACAGATTACAAACAACTATCAATAATTCATTTTTTCAAATTCATTTTGATACTCTTTTTTTTTTAGAATAAAGGAAATTTTGCAAAAAAAATCCGGCTTTTAAAAAAAAAAAAAAAAAAAAAAAAATGAAAAAAATTAAAAAAAAAAAAATGAAAAATAATTAAAAAAAAATAATCAAATTAAAATATCAAACTAAAAATATCAAAAAAAAATATCAACCCCAAAGTATCAATTCAAAAAGGTGCTGGTTTGAATGTTAACACAAGTATCAAATATCACTGTTTGTAATTAACACCAAATGTTACCAGCCAGATAAAGACACATTATTTCCCCTTTGTGCCACACACTCAAAACATTAATTTTATACATTAATTGAGCCTGTAAAAAAAAAAAAAAACAATAAACACGAGTTCTATTCTCGAGGAGAGACAGCCTAAAAAACTGTGATATTCAATTTAAAAAAAAAAAAAAAAAAAAAAAAAAGTATATTTGGAGCGTGGTCACAGAAAAAAAAAATTTTAAATTAAAATAATTAATAAATAAAAACTAGATTTGAACACATCCAATTGGATGAGGTTATTAAAAAAAAAAGTATATTTGGAGGTGGGGCTTATCATAGTGGTTTCACACAGAATAACACAGCCTCCATGGCCTTGGTTCAAGTCTTGGTCATACCACGAATTAACGTGGTCACAGAAAAAAAAAAATTTAAATTAAAATAATTAATAAATAAAAACTAGATTCGAACACATCCAATTGGATGAGGTTATTAAAAAAAAAGTATATTTGGAGGTTTAATAAGGGTCGGGTTAGATAAGGTAACTTGAGATGAATAAATATCGAACTTTCCCTTTTGTTGTAATGGTTCTGCGATGTTAAAGATAATCTTGTTCGAATTATCACAAATTTGTAATATATCAATAATAAAAAACTGGAAAAGTTAAGTTATACTTGGAACTAAAATTAACCAAAGAATATCGATCAAAACTCATTTTAAAAAAAAAAAAAAAACATAATAAAAGAAGAAATATCAATATTTATAACAATATAACATTAAACTAATTTAAAAAAAAGCTTATGGTGTTATTGTTCATAATATATTAAACTATAATCGAATAAATTAGAATATTCGATACTTTAAAAAGAACTTTTACAAACTATTTAAAGAAATGTAACAGTAATCAATATTTTAACATAATAAAGGTGGATTTATATTTATTTATTTTTATTTTGACTATTGTTGGTATCACTTAAATATTTGATTAAGCCATTTGTTAAGCCAATTAAACCACCTGTTAAAAGATAAATTGACTTTCTTTCTCTATAAAATAATAACCCACCCAATAATGACGCACCAATAACCCCATTTATAAGATACTTTCTTGTTTTGTTATCGTTTATATTATTATTGTTTGTCTCATTGGAAAAACAAGGCGTTGTTGGAGTTGGCGTGGGGGTTGGTGTTGCTGTAGATGTAGATGGTGAAGAGGATGAATTAATAGTTGTTATATTATTTATTATTTTGAATAAACCATAACCACTTGCTACAAATAAACCAAATTTGCAACTAAACTTTAAAAGTGATATCATATGATCTTTATTCGATAAATCCAATTGACCCATTATATTATTATTGCTGCTAGAATTATTTAATAGTCTGTAATACATAATTGATAGAGTTGATCCTGTACCAACCAATAATGAACTTAATGTTATTGATTTTAATGAATTCTTATTATTATTATTATTTATATTATTTTGATTAATTTCTAATTGAGAATTACTTTTTATTGGTTGTTGTTCTTGTTGTTTTTGTTTTTGTTGTTGACTGACACTATCATCTTCTGTAATGTTAATATTAAATATAGGATTTGTAGTAATATTTAAAGTATCTTTAACCAACACTGGAACTTCTCCAAACTCTCCTTGGTTAATCTTGCTATTAGCATCTTCATCTTTTATGATTATAGTTGAAGTGTTTCCATTAACAATAGGCAATGAAATATTATCATTATTATCATTATTATCATTTGAATTAGTGTTATTATAAGTATGAGTTGTTGTGGTTATACTAGTTGTAATAGTGGTAGCGGCTAAAGAAGGAGTTAAAGGTGGAGTTTGAACTATTTCAGAGATACCAGCTTCAATCTTTCTGATTTTATTTTCAAGTTTTCTTAGTTGAGTGAATTGATCATGATCATGTATTAATTGCTGCTGCTGTTGTTGTTGTTGTTTTTGTACATTTAAAAGAGGTGGTGAAGATAATTGATTTACAATTTGATTTTCAATTTTAACGATTTTCAGTTGCATTTCATTGAGTTTTGCTTTTTGTAAATTCATTTCATCCAATAATAACTTTTCGTTATTGTATTGTTGAGAACTTGAAACTATTGATTGTTTTTGATTTTCAATATCTAATAGTTTATTGGAGAGATCTGATTTTGTGAATTCCATTTCCTTTAGAATGAAATCCTTTAAACATTGAATGGTCTTTTTACTATTGATTTTACCCTTTTCAATGATTAATGATAAGTTTGAACCTAATTGAATGATTTCATTCTTTTCATTATTTAAAAACGATTTCATTAATATAGCTCTATCTTTAATGTTATTAAATTCTTTATCATCATCACCGTTGCTATCACTATCTTCTTCTTCTTCTTTAATATTGTTATCAATTTGTTGTTGTTGTTGTTGAACCTGTTGATTTAAACCTAAATTAACCTTATCCAATCTTTCAAGTTCTTTTGTTAATCTATCAACTTCAGATTCAGTCCAGAGTAATTTTTTATTAACTGTTAAAAGTTGTGATTGGAATTGATTACAATTATACTCACTAGTTTCCAATTGTTTGAATGTTGATTCACATGATAACAATAGGGTGTTATGAGTTTCTGAAATGGATTTTCTATTTAACTCTGATTGATCCAATTGAAGTGATACGAGTGAAAGTTGATCAATTAATGTAGATCTTTCAAACTCTATCATTTCAATAGAATTAGTTAATGACTCCCTCTCCGTTGATAAATCATTGATGATCTCATGTAATTTGGCGACTGTATTCTCACCCATTCTCTTAATCTCTTGAATTAATTGATTAAATTTCTCTAGGGTGAAATCTCTTTCTCTTTGCATCTCTTCAATTGTATCGGATAAAGAGGACTTGTCATTCTTTAGATCAAAGATTATATTGGATAGAATTGATTCTCTACCTTCTTTTTCACCGACATCAATCATTAACTCATCTATTTTCTCACTCAATCTATCTCTTTCCTCTTCTACTTTTTTTATCTTGTACGATAGATTCAATAGCTCTTCGGAATTATTCTGTTTATCATTTAATAACTCTAAATGTAACATTTCATTTTGATGTTTCCATACCATTAATCTCTTTTCTAACATTTCAATTTGTTTTCTATAAAATTCAATCTCTTTTTCCATTGACAGTGTTGTAGCTGATGATGATGTTGTTGTTTCTGTTATTTGTAAATCAGATGGTGTAGTATTATTTGGAATTGATGAAGATGCTGAGGTTGATAAAGAAGATGATATCGATGATATTGATTGAGGTGATAGTGGTATATTATTATTATTATATATTGTTGAATTTGATGAACCTATTGGTATTATTGGTGTTGAATTTATTCCATTTTGTATATTATTTATACTGTCATTACTATAAGGTAATGGACTGCTATTAAAACTATTATTATTACTAGCTAAATCAGAATTAATTTTATGGGCAACAGCTTTTGACAATTGCGATGCCATTTCTAATAAATGTTCTGTAATATCTTTTAACTCGCTATCTCTATTTATCTTTTCAGTTTTCTCTTTTTCAATTTGTTGTTTCTACAGTATTGATTTTAAGAAAAAAAATTTTAAAAAAAAAAAAAATTAATAAGATTTCTTAAACTACCCACACTTCTGATATTTGGGTATTTAAAATAAAATCTACAAATTAATTAAACACATACTAAATGAACGAATTCATGCAATAATGAATTGATTTTAATCTTTGATTTACTACTACTACTACTATTGCTACTGCTGCTACTATTACTTCTATGATGAATATGATGATTATTCGATTTATCTTTTGTATCACTTTTTTTAAGAGATTCTTCAATTTCACCAATTTTATTTTCAAGTTGAATCAATGTCGATGATACCTCTTCTAATTTATTATTGCTATTGGTGCCATTATTATTGTTGTTGTTTGAGGAAGAAGATAGTGTATTTGAATTATTTATAAATAATTTAGAAGCATTTTCAATCGATTGTCTTAGGTCAATTTTAGCTTGGTTGAAATAATCTTTAAGTTTGATTCTTTCTGCCTCAGCTTTTGCTCTAGCTTCCAATAATGTTTGTTCTACTGATGCTCTATTTCGTATAATATTTTGAATCTCTTCATTATCGATATCACTACCACTGATTTCAATCTCTTCTTCCTCTTCTTCCTCTTCTTCTTCCTCTTCCTCTTCTTTCTCTTCTTCCTCTTCTTCTTCCTTTTCTTTCCCTTCATTATTTTCTTCATTCTCTTCGCTACCTATCGGCAATGAAGATTTGGTAGTTCTGGTGGTGGTAGTTGTAGATAAGTCATTACTGCTTAGTGGTGTAGTAGTTGGAGAAATTGGTGGT